TGAGGGGGGGGGGGGCAACATGCAGGTGAAAGGCTGGAATATTATAATGAGCTAGAGCTAATGACGTCAGAAACTACCCACTCCTGAAACCTCCTGATTTATCTCCTGGATTCAGACTGAGGCAGCCCACAAAAACATGACTCAGTCATTTTTTTTCACACCTTCACCGTCCACAGTCCCAAATGTACATAATCAAACAATTAAAAACTTGGTTTTGCATAATACAGTGGGGGAAATAAATATTTGACCCCTTGCTGATTTTGCAGGTTTGCCCACTTACAAAGAATTCCTATTTTTCCTCATCAGATGGTTCTCAATTTTTATAAATTCATATGATGTGATTTTCTGGAATTTTCTTTGCGATTCTGTCTTTCACTGTTAGAATGTACAGATGATTAAAGTTACAGATCGTTGCATTCTTTGTAAGTGGGCAAACCTGCTAAATCAGCAAGGGGTCAAATACTTATTTCCCCACTGTATGTCCCCTTTAAAAAGGGGTTCCGGTCGCCTACCGGCCGCCATGTAGAGCACGGCGAGCGCCAGGTTGATGACGAACTCTGTGAGGGGCCACCAGTTGGAGTCCAGCAGGATGGTGCGGTAGTACATGGTCATGCCCAGCACCAGCACCATGACGGTGACCACCCAGGCCAGGCCGGCCACCACCAGCACGAAGGGCGTCTTGGGCCCGCTGTAGTAGGCGCCGCCCCCCCCGCCGGCGCCATAGAAACCCCCGCCGTACGCCCCGCCGCCGGGCGCCGAGTACCCGAACATGTTGAACCACTCGTTGTCCTTGTGCACGTAGGCGCAGACGCAGGCGAACACGGCGGCGCCCAGCAGCAGCTCCACGCAGCCCAGGATGCGCAGGAGCCCCGCCCACGACTTCATGTAGGCGTAGCGCTGGTGGTACTCCTCCACGCGCTCGCCGTAGCTCAGCGCCGCCGTCGCCGAGGCAACGGCGCCCAGCAGCTCCTTGCTGGAGTCGTAGCTCCCGGCCGAGCCGCCATACGGGTCACGGTGGGAGGCGGGCGGCGAGCGGGGGGGCGAGCAGCGCACGCCGGAGCTGCTGCTGTTGTTGTTGTCGTGGTTACCGGAGGACCACTTGGCGCTGCTCCCCCGGTTGCTCCCCCGGAAAAAGTCCTTCCAGGAGTCGGGGATGAAGCGGTGCACGGGTTTGATGTCCAGGGCGGGGTCGAGGTTCAGGTCCAGGTCGTGGTCGTCGGGGTCGTCGTCGGGGTCGTCCCGTTGCCCCGGCAACCCCACGGGCGGCTGGTGGGGGAGTGGCGGCGCCGGCCCGGGGGAGGCGGTCCGGTTTGGGGGGTCGAGGGGAACCGGGTCGTAGAGCGGCGCCCGGCGTTCCCGATCAGGGCGCCCGGGGAAGCCCCCCCCGGAGGACATGAGGAGGCGGGAGGGCCCTGAGGACACACGGAGATCCGTCACCCCCCAAAACAAACACACCCCAACACACCTGCCCCCAAAACAAACACACCCCAACACACCTGCCCCCAAACCAAACACACCCCAACACACCTGCCCCCAAAAACAAACACACCCCAACACACCTGCCCACATCTGCTCACTCTAAGGAGGAACAGAACACAGCCAGAGGCCAAAAGAGGCAAAAAAAAGGAGAAAAAATGGCCAAAATCTGCTTTTCTTATCATTTTATTTAATGAAAAATAAACTTTAAGAGACATTTACTTTGTTTTTATAGCTGAAAAAGCAGCTTATCTGATGTTTTTCATGGTAATCTCAAAGATTTGTTGTGACTTTTTAAAAACTGTTTGAATAAAATAATACCTTCTTTATCCTTCTCGTCTCCTGTCATTTCATGTCCCATCTTTTCTTTTTCTCTGGTTATTTTCCTGCAGCCCTTTTGTTCTTTTATATTTTCAATCCATCTATCTTTACTACTGAATCATTCTGACCGGCAGCCATTTTGAGCTGGCTGTTTTGTGTAGTCACTTTGCATCTCTGTGGTGGTTTTGCATCTCAGTTTTGGTGTATTGTGTTAACCTGTGGGCCACCGGAGCCGGAACTTATTTAGTCATAAATCCTGTGAATATTTAGCCTTTAAACAGTCACAGATTATGACTAACTACCCCCCCAACGACAGTAATATCACTGTGATCAAGAGGGTGATCAGCAGAGATGTACATTAACAAAGTAGAACTACTTAAGTACTGTACTTAAGTACCAAAATGCAGTATCTGTACTTTATTGGAGTATATAAATATTGTTTTCCCTACTTTTACTTTTACTCCACTACATATTTTTGATTAATTTAATACTTTTACTCCGATCGATTTTTCATGGGCTGAATCGTTACTCATTACTGATATGTAAACATTATGAATCATCCCCAAGTATAAAAGAATGCCTCCTGAAAGATTGCGAAATCATGGCCTTCAAAAATTCCTCATCTAATCTGAAGAAGCATATCAAGGTAAGTTAAAAAATACAATGACATATAAGCTAGTAACTAAGCGCTAGTTCAGTTCTCCCTGTTCACTCAGGACATAGCAGCTAACGTTGGCTAAAGCTAACACCTAGCTGGCTAGCTGTATGATAACGTTAACTAAAGCTAACCTAGCTGGCTAGCTGTATGATAACGTTAACTAAAGCTAACCTAGCTGGCTAGCTGTATGATAACGTTAGCTAAAGCTAACCTAGCTGGCTAGCTGTATGCTACATGCTAGCACAAAGGCTCAGCTCAGGATTCTGACTCTGGAATAATAAATAATAGTAGATGAAGTGCTGTTGGTTGCTAATGCAGATGTAGTTTTCTGTTTTTGTAAACACCTGTATGGCCTTTCACACGTTTGAAATAATTCATACAATATCTATCAAACCTTTGACTGTCTTTTTTAATATACACAGTACTTGTACTTTTACTTATACTTTCGATACTTGAGTAGCAATTTTTGAAATACTTCTACTTGCAATACTTAAGTTAAAAAAATGGAGTACTTCCACTTAAATATGGAGTTGAAAGAATACTTCTACTTTTATTCAAGTCCATTTTGTTATATAGTACTTGTACTTCTACTCCAGTACTTTATACATCTCTGGTGATCAGATAAGAAATATGGACAGAGGACGGAGACAAAAACAAGCCCAGACACACAAAAAAAGCCCCACATTCATGCAGAGATAATGAAGAGAAGCCAACACAGACGGCCCCCCCAGAAACCCCCCCCGGCCAAAAGCCCTCCTGAGAGCGGACCATTTCCCAGCATCCTCCATGCAAGCCCAGTCAGGAATGCGTTTCTGTGCGGTCAGAAAACGGAGCTCTGGAACGCTCGACTCGCACAAAAACACAAACCGTGTCTCCCTTTAAACCGATTTGAGAGTCTATAAAAAGGGTTTAAAAAAGGGTTTGGGTACCTCTTTCACACGCAGTCACTCAACACGACTTACATTGGCCTGCAGCTCAGATCAAACCTGGTCTGGAGAGTCACCTGCAGAGGCAAACGGGAGAGTCAACCAGGACTGGAACCATAGTAACATGTTCAACCCGATACCGATACTCAGGAAAATATCCGATACCGTTTTTGGTACCACAAGGATAAAATAAAAGACCCCAAAATTTAACTGGATTTTGACAGGTTAGTGTCTTTTGTTTCAAACTGACCTGTTACTGATGTTATGGTGGCCCACATTAATGACCCTAACCCTAATCCTGACCCTGACCCTAAACATAACCCTGACTTTAAACCTAACCCTAACCCTAATCCTAACCCAAAACATAAACCTAACCCTAAACCTCACGCTAAACCTGACCCTAAACCTAATCCTAACCCTAACCCTGACCATAACCCTAAACCTAAACCTGACCTTAAACTTAACCCTAACCCTCCAGCCTTCATAATTGTGAGAAATAAATATTTTTTGGGTTAAATGGACTTATTGTACAAACTTATTTAACATCCACTATTTTAACATAATATTATGGATAGAGTTTAATTCAGTGTTTGCAAGATTCATTTCACTATTTTTAAATGAATGTCTATATTGCCATGAAGCAATTAGGATTTTCTTGCCTGGGATCTTCCTATTGGTGACCTAATCAAAATGGCCGACTTGGATGTGGGGGAGTTGGATATCCATCCATGGCTTCCTGCAGTCTGCAGCCAGACGGACTTGATTAATGTTGGCGTGTTATTATTAGCCATTAGCCACAGCTAGCAATTCAAGGTTAACATCATGTTAATTATCATAAACCACGTAAATAAATAAAGGTTTAGACATCAGGGTTGGGGCTGATTGCTGTTTGGAGTACTTACCGGGTATTATTATTTTAGATTTCGGACGCCATGACTTCCCTCGAGATCTGACACAGGCTGCTCGCTCGATAATTCATGAGTAGCTGAGTCAAAATTTGATGAAGAGGAAGTAGAATCACGCCCTTTAAACACCATGGAGGGATGTAGTCACACAACAAGGCCACAAAGAAGGTTAAGAGGGGCTAATGTGACCAGTTACTGATATAAACAGTATCAGGAGGAGGCACAACTAAACTATATTCGTTCAGAGACGTTAAATCTGTAAAGAGCCTATCTGGAAATCTGAGATTTTTTAAGTTTGACTGATCCTGAGCACTTAAAGACTTGTTTTTGCAGACTTTTCTCACAGATTAATATGAATTTATTACAGAAAAGTCAACAATTGATGCACAACTCTGCATGGGAAGTAAACGTGACCTCAAAGGTATCGAGGAAGTTGATTAAATTGACTTGTTTTGGACTATTTGATTAACAACCGTGTAATTAAACCAGGCGTTAGAGTCTGAAACGTTGGGATATTAAAAGAAACAGGTTGTTCAGTTCCCTCTTGACTGATTAAACTTTCATTTGCAAAGATCTGGTTGATATAAATGGATACTGGTAAAGTTTTACAACCAGTTTAAACGGGTAAAAATGAACATCCCTGATTTTAACTGTAAAAAAAAAAAATGTCTTGTATTTTTCTTATTTTTTGTCCCTATTTTTGCTTTTGAAGTCCTGCTTTTCATAGGTAAAATCAGCGAACAAGGCGGTACCTGAACGCACCTCCGCTGACACTCAGCAGGTTAACGGACTCTTAGCTGACTTTTATTGACTTTTACACATCATTTGAGGTGTTTCCTCCCCAGAAATTGACCAGAATAAAACATATGGAGTTATTTTAAATCTCCAAAGTCTGAGGAATGAGGAGGGGAACCGTTTCCGTTTCTAGAACAATCAGGAGTCCGTGAAGGAGGCCTGATAACGAACCTGTGGAGCGGCGGTTGGCTCCGAAAAAAGGGGGAAAAAGTCAATTTAACTCTTTAAAACTGAGCCCACGCCGGCTCGAAAGCCCCTCTCCCGTTTCGTGGACGTGGGTTTAGGTGTGTAACGGTTAGTTTGACTGGTTTTAACCGGTAATATCTGGGTAAACTTAACCAAAAGTGCCCGCGAACAAACAAACGGGCGTCGCGTTAACGGCTCCTTTTTCCCAGCAGGAAAACTCAAACTCGCGTGCCCATCTTGAATTCCCCCTTGGGGATCAATAAAGTAAATATCTATCTATCCTGCCGTTTTACCCGGTTCCCGGCTTACCTTGGCCACTTGTTGTCCCTCTTTTTCCTCCTCCTTTTCTACCATTTCAGTAACGTTACACCAGCGGCAGGTTTCCACCAGCGGCGGCGGACCACGTGACCTGCCCATCCCCGTGACGTCACCGGGCCAGTTTACCTGTTTCCAGCGGTGTCGCGCGACACCTGAAGCCCACCAGAGTCTCCTTCAGACCCGTTCACGCGGACGTAAATGAGCCGGGACTCACGTGCACACGCAGCTGAACCAAAACCGTGCACGAACACGCACGGACACAGTGCACGCGCAGTAATTAATCATTTAACCTGCAGAAGAAGTCCTGATCTGCCCCTAATTTATCACAGAAAAACAGGAAGTGGCTGCAGACTTACTGAGACATGCGCAGACAGGTGCTCATTTAAGAGCTTTGTTTATCTAAATTAAAGGGTTTCAGGTATGGAAAAGACTTTTTGTAGTTTATATAAAATGTTTTTCTTTGTTTACATGAGCAATTATCAGTTAATTATAAAAACATTTCTGTAGTTCATATAAAATGTTTTGTCTACAAGAAAAAGTTAATATAAAATGTTTTTCTTTGTTTACATGAACAGTTACAAGAAAGATTTTTTACAGTTTATATAAAAAAAAATTATTTGTTTACATAGAACAGTTATCAGTTAATTATAAGAAATATTTTCTATAGTTTATATAAAATGTTTTTTTTGTTTCCATGAGTAGTTATCAGTTATTTATGGTAAATATTTCTGGGGCTGTATCCC